AATTCACATAATCTATTACTTTATTCACTCCACAATAATTTTAATTTCAATTTTATAATTATAATTATAATTTTAAAATTTTTATTTTAAATCAAAATAAGCTTAAATAAATAAAATAATATAGTTTTTGAATTGCAAAATAGAATTTCAAAAATTAAATACTAAACAAAAAAAATTAAGTATCGCTATCGTGGTTGTTTTAAAATAAAAATTTTATAACAATAATTACAGCTTCAACGGTAAAAGTAATTAAAAATTGAGGAATAATATTTTTTTAAAATAAATGATAGTGGAGGACCGTTGTTTCTCACCATTCATGGCGTGTTAATGGTGCAATCTTACACATGTCACGTGCTCTACCTACGTTTTCTCCAAATTTATGAAGTACTAACCTAATTTTTGAATGTAATTAAAATCAACGTTACATATCCAGTACTAAATTTAAACCATTAAATTTTAATTTGAAAATTTATCTATCAAGTCAAATACTCACAATCTCTAAATTTGTCCTTCTTACCTTTATCGAAATGTTTAAAAAAAAATTGCATAAATACAACAACATTTATAATTTTATTACTTAAAATATCTTATATTAGAAAAAAAGTAAAATTATGATAATATCCCCAAATATATTCTAATAACATAGAGTAATATTAGTTTCGGGCTAATTGAACACCAAAAGATGTCTAAATTCATCCATTTTTAAAAAATGACCAATAAGAATGGTAACTGATGTATGTAGCTGATATAGAAATCATTAAATATAAAAAATAGTACATTTGTGTGCACTCGTGGTACAAAATTAATTATTCTCTCCTTTAAAGTCAACTTAATAAAGTCTTCAAAAGTCATCCATTCATTTTTTAATTTATTTCTCCCCCCACATTCACCCATTATTTCCTGATTCACAAAATAAAGTTAAATAATGTCAATTAGTGGATATTCAACCTACAATTTTGTTATAATCTCCTATTATTAGAGTAATATTAATTTCCAATCTATAGAGATATCTTTGTTTCCTTTACTTTTTTTTTTATTTATTTATAACTGCCAATCTTCGTGATTACATCTTCTTCTAAATCTAGAAGAAGATAGACTTCTATCTTCTTTTAGGTTTGGATGAATATGAGTGTTTGCTTCTTTTTCTTTTTCTCCAATTCAAGAAGAGAAGATAATGATGCTTGTTGGGGTTCTCTAAGTATCACAATTTTCATTGACAAAGAAAAGAAAACATTGCTTTGGAGGAGTCCAACAATTTTTAAGAAAAGATAAACAAATTAATTAGAAAAAAAAAAGATAATAAATAAATTAATATAATAATAACATGTTATATAATTATCAAATTTTAATGGAATATGTTGATGTAGATGTCATATCATTATTTCCGAATTTTTATTGGTAAAATAGCTCAAAATGATTTAATTTGTAATTTTTGCTAGTTTGTAGGAATAGTTGGAGTGTGTATGAGTTTAATGGCTTTAAGTACTATTTTTCATAAAATTTGCAAGATATATTTCATCATTATCCCTTTGTAATGGCAACTCCAATCTAACCCCCTTCGATATTTTTTTTTTTAAATTGTGGCCCCAAATCTTCCACATCGATTACCATTTAATTTCTTCCATTATTTTCTCCAAAATTTTGTCGATTTTCTTTTCATTTTGTGAGCACAAACCTTCCACATCGATCACCATTTAATTTCTTTCATTATTTTCTCCAAAATTCTTGAGTCAATACTGCATCTACTAAGGCTCAAACTCACGTCCTCCCATATGAGAACCCAACCTTAGTAGTGCCATTAAACCACAATAATTTATTCACTTCATAATAATTTTAATTTCAATTTTATAATTGTAATTATAATTTAAAAATTTTGATTTTAAATCAAAATAAGCTTAAATAAATAAAATAATATATTTTTTGAATTGCAAAATAGAATTTCAAAAATTAAATACTAAACAAAAGAATTAAGTATCGTGTAGTAGTTGTTTTAAAATAAAATTTTAAAACAATAATTACAACTTCAACGGTAAAAGTAATTAAAAATTGAGGAATAATATTTTTTTAATAAATGATAGTGGAGGACCGTTGTTTCTCACCATTCATGGCGTGTTAATGGTGCAATCTTACACTTGTCACGTGCTCTACCTACGTTTTCTCCAAATTTATGAAGTACTAACCTAATTTTAGAATGTAATTAAAATCAACGTTACATATCCAGTACTAAATTTAAACCATTAAATTTTAATTTGGAAATTTATCTATCAAGTCAAATACTCACAATCTCTAAATTTGTCCTTCTTACCTTTATCGAAATGTTTAAAAAAATTGCATAAATACAACAACATTTATAATTTTATTACTTAAAATATCTTATATTAGAAAAAAGTAAAATTATGATAATATCCCCAAATATATTCCAATAACATAGAGTAATATTAGTTTCGGGCTAATTGAACACCAAAAGATGTCTAAATTCATCCATTTTTAAAAAATGACCAATAAGAATGGTAACTGATGTATGTAGCTGATATAGAAATCATTAAATATAAAAAATAATACATTTGTGTGCACTCGTGGTACAAAATTAATTATTCTCTCCTTTAAAGTCAACTTAATAAAGTCTTCAAAAGTCATCCATTCATTTTTTAATTTATTTCTCCCCCCACATTCACCTCATTATTTCCTGATTCACAAAATAAAGTTAAATAATGTCAATTAGTGGATATTCAACCTACAATTTTGTTATAATCTCCTATTATTAGAGTAATATTAATTTCCAATCTATCGAGATATCTTTGTTTCCCTTACTTTTTTTTTATTTATTTATAACTGCCAATCTTCATGATTACATCTTCTTCTAAATCTAGAAGAAGATAGACTTCTATCTTCTTTTAGGTTTGGATGAATATGAGTGTTTGCTTCTTTTTCTTTTTCTCCAATTCAAGAAGAGAAGATAATGATGCCTGTTGGGGTTCTCTAAGTATCACAATTTTCATTGACAAAGAAAAGAAAACATTGCTTTGGAGGAGTCCAACAATTTTTAAGAAAAGATAAACAAATTAATTAGAAAAAAAAAAGATAATAAATAAATTAATATAATAATAACATGTTATATAATTATCAAATTTTAATGGAATATGTTGATGTAGATGTCATATCATTATTTCCGAATTTTTATTGGTAAAATAGCTCAAAATGATTTAATTTGTAATTTTTGCTAGTTTGTAGGAATAGTTGGAGTGTGTATGAGTTTAATGGCTTTAAGTACTATTTTTCATAAAATTTGCAAGATATATTTCATCATTATCCCTTTGTAATGGCAACTCCAATCTAACCCCCTTCGATATTTTTTTTTTTTTTAAATTGTGGCCCCAAATCTTCCACATCGATTACCATTTAATTTCTTCCATTATTTTCTCCAAAATTTTGTCGATTTTCTTTTCATTTTGTGAGCACAAACCTTCCACATCGATCACCATTTAATTTCTTTCATTATTTTCTCCAAAATTCTTGAGTCAATACTGCATCTACTAAGGCTCAAACTCACGTCCTCCCATATGAGAACCCAACCTTAGTAGTGCCATTAAACCACAATAATTTATTCACTTCATAATAATTTTAATTTCAATTTTATAATTGTAATTATAATTTAAAAATTTTGATTTTAAATCAAAATAAGCTTAAATAAATAAAATAATATATTTTTTGAATTGCAAAATAGAATTTCAAAAATTAAATACTAAACAAAAGAATTAAGTATCGTGTAGTAGTTGTTTTAAAATAAAATTTTAAAACAATAATTACAACTTCAACGGTAAAAGTAATTAAAAATTGAGGAATAATAATTGTTTTTTTAATAGATGATAGTGGAGGACCGTTGTTTCTCACCATTCATGGCGTGTTAATGGTGCAATCTTACACTTGTCACGTGCTCTACCTACGTTTTCTCCAAATTTATGAAGTACTAACCTAATTTTAGAATGTAATTAAAATCAATGTTACATATTCAATACTAAATTTAAAACCAATTAAATTTAAATTTGGAAATTTATCTATCAAATCAAATGCTCACTATTTCTAAATTTGTCATTCTTACCTTTATTGAAATGTCTAAAAAAAATTGCATAAATACAACAACATTTATAATTTTATTACTTAAAATATCTTACATAAAAAAGTATAAGTAATTTTAACTTTGTTGGGCATAACAGTGTTCAAGGGCAACAGGCAAATTGAAACACATTTAGCTATTTACCTCATTTACTAGTCAATAAGAGTGGTAAGAAATCCTTAAATTTAAGATACATGTGTTCAGTAAAACGTGATCAAAATAAATTTACAAAATCTCTCAAAATGTGTTCATCTTATTCAACTTTACTTTGTTAAATTCTTATATACTCCAGACAACACTTGCTCTAATATCTTCAGTGTTTTTATTTTATCAGACGTACAAAATGGACGACGATGATTACCAGCAGCAGAGTCTTCGGAGCTATGATGACAGCCACATTGGTGTTTACAATCCCGTTGTTGCTATATGGGATATGGCAGTCCACCGCCGCGTCCGGTCGTTTTCTTGACAAGGAGGTGATGGGCTTCATGGTGTTGATCTTCCTGGTTTCAGCCATCGGCTTCATAGGGTGGTCGTGTTCCCTGGACAAGCCGATTGTTATCGTTTCCGATGAAGTTTTACGGTCACCCAGCGGCAACTACTTCATCTACCAGAAACAAACAACCTGGATCATGTCTCCGTATGAAGAAAGTTGGATTAACTACCAAAGCATTTTTTGCTACAACTGCCAGTCTTGCAAGGCGGAAATGAACAGAAAATGGAGGAAGGTGGCCATCTTTTACATAGGTTTCATGGCCTTGGGTATCTCGGTCAGCTACTACGCCGCCGTTAAGTACCGTCACTATTAGTTTGTTTAACTTTTTGTAGTGTACTGTGGGAATGTGTGTTTTTAGGATATATGGAATATATTTTAAAGAAATCTGGAAATTGAAGTAATCTATCTATATATATATATATCTGTTGAATTTTTGTGATTGGCATATACACAAACACAAGCATTTCGGCGGCCACTAACATATATTTCTAACACTGCGTTGCTATTTTTGTACTGTGGATATGATCTTCTCCCTTAACATACAGAAACTAATTTACACAACTATAACCTGCAGCAACCTAAGCTTCCATTATTGCTACACATATCAATCTTCATGCTTCAACCATACCTTTCTTGATGAGCTCTTTACCTGATATCACACAAAATATATATAAATTGCAGCACCATCATATCAGCAAAAATCAACCACATACATATATATCACTGCAAGAATACACTATTAAATTGGCCCTGTCATGCTAAGCGTGACCGTAATTTACCTCTTCCCACATACTCTATGGGGTCGGGGTGTGAAAGCACTTAGGATTGGGGATTCAACCTGTTGGGAGAAAAATACACAAAACGATTTATTGGTCAGTTATAAACAACCTTAGTTCAACTCCCAGGTCAGCAAGAACGACTTATTGGCCTTCTTGGTCAATTGACAACCTAAGCTAAGTTTAACTGTGCACACCCTTAATTAGCCTTTTGGTAGTGGCAGTTTGTTTTGCAAAGAACAAAAGATGGTGAATAAATTAAAGGAATTGAATAACCTGTGATGGGCATAGGAGGCAGTTCTGGAAGATCATCTATGATGTGCTTCACAGTTTCTCGGCGCACCCGGCTACGTTTGATAATGGTGCTTCTATCGTGAAGACCCTTCAAATTGATCTGCTCCTTGCTAACACTAATTGCAGTCTTTTCAACTGCAGGCTTATCTGTTTTATCAGCTAATTCTTTCAACAAATCCTCCACATCAGAGTTGCTTCTGATGTCTTTCTTTGCAGGGAGGCAATGCAAGCCTGAAATGCAGGAACTAACAGTAGTTGTTATTTGAACTTTATGAGTCTGAACTTGCTGCAACAAATTAAAATATTATTCTAACATCTATACAGCTGCTGCTGACTAAATTGGATTTAATTTTTTTTTTTTTTTGAAACCAAAGAAATTCATTAATTCAAATCAGGGTACAACTGGTTGACGATAACAGAACGAGGGGTAGAACTCCGCTCCCGACGTACAGACATAGAACAGGGTTCCCTAGCTAAGATATGGAACCATATTCGTATGCCTAACATGAGAGATTGCTACTTGGGTCAATGAACCTAAACTGATGGAAATTAATATTGGAAATAGATGGCCCAATAATAAGGGCCTGGGTCTAGGAGTGCATAACCCGAGCAGCCTAAGAAGGGTCCAGGACTCGGAGTCCGCCTCCGGACTCGGAATGGTGGGCCTTGACTTAGTCTCGTGGCCCATGATTTAGTCTTATGACCCACCATATGTCTAGCTATATTGGTTGGATTTATTTCTTGTATAAGTAGCCATTATCTAGCAATAAATTATGTTGTGGAAACGTGTTCACCATGCCCATGGTGAACACAGGGGTAGATCCATAATTTCTATGCTGTATAAATTATGAATCTACAGTATAGAAATTTTGAATTTACAGTACGGTATAGAAATTATGAATCTACAGTATAGATAGTATAGATATTATGAATCTACAACTTAGAAATTATGGATCTATCTCATGTTCACCATGTGCATGGTGAGCACGGTGCATGGTGAGCACGGTTCTACGGCATAACTTTTGTAATCTAGCCTAGCCAAAGGACATTCAATATCATTACAACACATTCTTTGTAATATCTTTATATTAATTCATCCAATACTACTACGATTCTACTTGTTTATATCCATTTTACACCTTTATATATTTTATGCGCGATTATTGATCCGTATATATAATTACATACCCCGGATCAATTTTCTCCATCACTAACAAATCTTTAATAATATATTATAAGTAATCATGACCCCCCCCCCCCCCCCCCCCCCATTTCATTCAAATGAATTTTCACCTTAATTAGCTATCTAGTATATATTTTCAATACTGTACTATAATAGAAAAGCAGGGAGCTAACCTGCTCTTTGACTAGCAAGAGCATGAGCACTAGAACTGATGAGCCAAGGTTGGGTAATAACCAATGGAGAATACAAGTAACAATCACACTTCAAATAATCTCCAACTTTATCCACAAAATCCTTATCGCCATGTACCTTTGCTGATGATTCCTCAATTCCTGCTAACATATACATACATTTTCAAATACCCTTTCACCGTATACATGGGCATATCTAGAGGGGGGCAGTTTCTCCCTCACCCACCCCGGTCCCATTATATATATATATATATATATATATATATATATATATATATATATATATATATATATATATATATATATGTGCATGTAGTATACGGAGTATATTTTAGTAAAAATATATAAAACATTATTATGCATAAAGATTATCAGAAGTTGAAATAGCTTAGTTTGTATTTAGTAGTTATGTTGTTCCTTATATAATAGTTATTCTTTTGTAAAAGGTCAAGAGATCAAACCTTACAAAGTACTAACTATACTATTTATCACAATCCCATCTTATATACATTTTAATTTTATCTTTTCTTAAGACACCTTAAATAAATATATATTGAGTAGAATAGATGATGATAGATGATTCTGTTTTCATTTAGAATTTTTTTTTAAAAAAAAAAATCTCTAATTTTCTAATATTTTCAATTTTCAAAATAGATAAACATGTTTTATGTTTTCTATTTTTCAATTCTCAAATTATCCAGAAAACTAAAACAAATTTTCAATTAGTAAAGGGATCTTAAAATCCTTTATATAATAAAGCTATATGGTTTGGAAAATAATTAATACTACAATTAATGCCACAACATCTTTTATTATAAAAAAAAAAAAAACACAACACTTAAAAAATAAAATAACTATATATTATATAATCATATAAAAAATATTCTTTTAAAAAATAAAATAGCTATATATTATATAATCATATAAAAAATTGTTCAATTAGAGTTTAAATTTACACATACAAAATTTAAAATTTACTTTCCAAATGTAATTATCTTAGTTATTATTCGTATTGTGAAAATTATAATATAGATGAAATACAATTAAGAATAAATCAATGTAATTATATAAATTCTCTCTATAAGTTTATTTGAATATGCACATAATTAAAAATTATATTAACCATACAAAATTATAATTTTAATTTTAATTGTAATTTTGTATTCTATAAAAATAATAAATACTTGACCAAGCTCAAAAATATTATTATATAAAATAATTTAAAATATTTTAATTTTTTTTTTATATTTATAATAACATAATTTTTTTTCGGGCATCGCGCGGGTGAATTACTAGTTTATCTAAATAGAATAAAATATATTTATGAATGAGATAAAATTTATTTCATATTTTTATTTTTGGCCCTATTGAAAAAGATTTCTGAATTCGCCCTGATATGACCGTGTATATATATAAGAACAAAAGAAATATCCAATCTAAATATATATGTGTGTGTAGTGTACATACCAATGGAAGAAGTATTAGGAGAGGAGAAATGAGATGAAAGCAAGGGTGCAAACATGTAGTCATCGGAGAAGAGATAATCAAACACTTTCTTGAAATACTGTAGTTGTGTCTTCTTGTTCTTCTTCTTCATTAGGGGGCGGCGTTCAGCCACCAAGCTCATCGTCGTCTTCTTGGGGGATCCACATCCACCTGCTCTCTTACTCACCATTTTCATTCGCAATTTTCTTGCCTTTGCTAGCAAGCTAGCTAGCTAGCTGTGTTTTAATTTGATTTGGTTTCCACCAAGCTAAGGTTTAGACGATACGGTGGCAGATTTGGGACGGTGCGTGGGGCGGCTCGTAACACGCGGCTGCAAATGCCCCACACCAAACGACGCGTGGCTTCGCTTTCTATCGTGCATATATATATATATACATATATTATTACTTCAAAAACGTACAAGGGAAGCAATATATTATAGAATTTTATATATCTTTATCGATCATAATACAAATTATACAACCAAAACATCTTTTTAAGAAAAAAAAAGAAAAACCCAAAGCAATTCCTGATACAACACTAAATTAAAGAAGAATGTATAGATATTACAATTGAATTGAATATGGAGATCAATCTGATCAGATGAGAACAACACCATACTATGCATCCAAGGCTAGCTAGATCGTGGATGGATAATGGATGGATTGTTGTTGTTGTAGGTGCAAGCTAAGCAGTGTTTGAAAGCTTAGCTTAGCTTAGGTGAGTTTAGAGTTGAAAGTGGTAACTGGTTTGAGTCCATGTTTAAGAGCAGCTTCCCAGACAACATCAATTCTGTGTACATCAATTGCCCCAACTTCATGATGACTCCAGCCTTCCAAACTGTGTACTGCCCCACCCGCATGGCATGCATGGACCACTCCTCTTTCCATTGTATACTGCGCCCAATACAGTACATCCACTTTAATTAATTTCTAATAATGAAGTAACTAGATCCATGCATAAATATATATATAACATCCAAATTAAATCAATATAATATATGATAGCTGTATCTCAACAATATATAATATAATTAGGTGTGGCAGCAAATTTTAGAGTACAGGACAGTTGAAAATGATATGATATGACCTACCTCACAGTTGCCAAGACCTTGAACATCATGTGGTAGTTTCATGGCTGCAAGATCACCATAAGTGCAGTCTCTTCTGAAGGGCAAGATTGGAGGAACCACAAACTGGTGAAAATGGGCTCCTGGGGGTGCAAAGTTTTGTTCTTTTGGTGTGATCCACTTCCCAACTATCCATGTCTGCATGCAATTGCAATATAATAATGTCATTACTAAAGTAATAAAATAATTAACTTTGAATATGCATATGTATATATAGAGAATGAAATTACATATATATATACCTTGCAGTTTTTAGCAGCCTGGTATTTTGTGACCTGGACCAACAACTTCTGGCAATCAGCAGGGGCTTCCTTCTGGATCTTCTGAAATCTCTCTGTTGAATGGGTCAACATCTGTACATACATAATAAAGTGCACAATTCTATCCATCACTTTTAATCAAACAGATTAATTACCTATCTAGATTACTACTGATTATTCTAGCTATGCAATTATTTAATCGTTATTATAATATATATATAATATCAATTATTTAAATTTGATTTGGCTGTAAATGTTGGCCGGTGTGAATTGAAAAGCTAAGGATTATAGTTGACATGGACTTGTGTCTGCAACTACATATGCATATAGGCATAAATAACCAACTACTTTTCAAAAGTGAAGTAGTTGAGTTAATGAGACAGACACACATTTAATATCCATGTGGCCTTAACTCTTCAAACATTATCATAAATAAACAATATAATATAATTATACGTAATAATTTGATGGATGGAAAGCGATGGAAACTTACCAGAACTCTAACTCTTCGTTGGCAAAGGTAAAGGGCGATGGCCCGACCGAGTTTGGAGGTGGCTCCGGTTAAGAAAACCTCAGTAACATCCTCAGGAATGTCATGTAATATTACAGCAGCTGTTAAGGTGTTCCCATGAACAACTCTAACCTTAAGGTTTGGATGTTTGTTCACAAACAATGTTCCACCTCCATTTAGTGCCTCATTCTTATTGAGAGCTGCAAGGCTGATAACCTTGACTCCCAACCTGTCAGCTCTAAGAATAGCTTCTTCAATGCGTTCATTGATTCCTTTTGCGGCAAATGGCAAGAAATACTGGAAACCGAAACGGGGCACAGTCCAGGTTTGATGGAGGCGACCCCTGAGGTAGTAGAAGGAGACCAAGAAGGTCTTGGAATATGCCCACATTGCCAGCATTGAGACGAAGGAGAGTGGGAGGTATGGGAGGAGGAAGAGCCTGGTTCTGAAAGGGGTTGATGAGAATGATCTCCACACGAAGGGCACGTGTAAGGCTGCTGTCATGTCCACTACATGAGCCAAGAACACAAAATCTGGCACCCTCCCATTTTTACCAGCTTGTAGGCTAATCTCAGTGTGCTTCTCCCATGAATCTTTGTTCAGGGTGTTTCCCAGTGCATCAAACAGTGGCATGAAGAGGCAATAATTGCTCTTCATCTCACTATGGTGCAGGCTGTGGTATCTGCAAATTAAAAACGTTACGTTACATTACGTTACGTTGATAGAATATGATTACGTTGATAGAATATGATCATATCAACCGCTTTAATTTCCTTATATATATACTGTCATCACATCATTTAAGATACATACTGGGTGATGGACTTGACCATAAGCCCCTTTTCGACCTCCGCCCAACAATCATATCATATATATCACATCACAATTCACAAATTAAAGATGGAGCCAATAATAGTGGTTTAGGGCTAAAAGAGAGGATGAATTCAATCAACTGCCTGGAATATAATAATATTATTATATATACTTACGTGGGGGTGTAAATAAGATATCTGAGAAATGGAAGGGCCTGAAACAGCTGATGGGGAAGAATTTCAACGTTGGAATGACCCAAACATCTTAGGAAATCAAACATCAAAACGTAACCATAAATCATGGCCGTTGATCCATATCCAATCATGCAAGCCCCAAGGATTGGAACCCCCATTACTGCACCCAACAGGATGTGCTCTAAAACTGTACCATGTCCAGCTGCATACCCAATTCAGGAAATTAAATATATCATTAATATAATCATGGCCCGCATGCATTGTGAACAAAAAAAAAAAATTTAAATATATCATTAATATAATCATGGCATAATGCACTGTGAACAAATTAAAAAATTTAGAGATCGAATTATTGATTGAATTGTGTTAATTAATTAATTACCTGTGAATGGGTGTTGTACAGTTGAGGAGTGGTGCAAAGAGTGATAATGGGTAAAAAGATAAGTTCCATGAAAGCATTTATGAAGGCAGTAGTAAAGAGGCTCAGAAACAAGTATATGCAGCAAAATTGCAGCTATTACTCCTCTTGTGTCCCAACTTGGAAGACTGGTAGTCTCTGGGAACATAATGAAGCCTAAACTTGCCATGAAAGCTTGAAGAATCAAGAAGTTATCCCTGCACAAATATAATTAATATAATATAATATTGCTTGATTATATATGTTCATTCAAACTTTAGTTTATAAAATAGTACCAGTCCCATTCTTTGTCAATCTGCTGAAAATCAATCCCTTGTTGAGAAATGCGACGATTTCGAACAAGGAATAACATATTACTGTAAGAGGACCATGCTTGATGCACTGCAAATCTAAGTGTATACAAAATGAGTATATTTATACACCAAATTGTTGCCCTGCTGCTTTCTTCTTCATAGTATCTTGAATGCAAAATCTTTCCCAGAAATGGTCCATATAGCAAATACTGTTCCAACACACCACACAATATTAGACCTAGCTAGCTACCTAATTGTATTCCAACAAATTAAAACTAAACTTCTTATTATCATCCCAAACATGAGTTTTAGGATTATTACCTTGTACAAGCCGAAGTTGTCCCATGGCCAGGTTGACAATGGTGCTGCACCCATAATCTTGTTCAGCTTCTTTTGGAGTTGTATCTTTAAGCAGCCCAGGCCAATTGCAATGAAATGAAAGATTGGAAGCTAGGTAAAACAAAAATGGTAGGTGTTGTTTTTTTGGGCAAAAGAATGAAGGGATCAAAGAATTGAAATACAATCTTCAATTCCGATCCTCTCGATTTGTATGTGTTTTCTCTTAGCTGTGTTTGCTCATACTCTGCTATGTAATATATATTTCCCTTCCAGTGTGAGTATTTATAGCCATGGGACTAATGGGAGTGGCCAGTGGGGAGGGGAGATAAGGAAATTTCTCCGAGTCTAAGGAAAGAAGAAAAAAGTTGACCTAGCTATCCTACTTTTAATTCTCTAGAATTAACATAATACATCATATTTTTTTACAATTAATTTTGTGTTGACCAACGGGTAACACACACTAACAATGCCCATATGAACATTATATTCCTGTCTTAAATAATGATCCTTATGTAGGTGTCTGGTTTTGCATTAGAATGGTAATGTCGAAATTTTTGTAATTTTTATTCTCTTAGTATAGGAAAATGAAATAATTTTGAGCTATCTAATCTACCATAAATAAATCCATAATCACTAAGTGATATTCATTGTGTTATTTTTTAATATCTAATTTTTATTTTAAAATAACAATTTTAAAAACATCAAAACTGAAATGTATGTTCCCTGGCCTCTCAATTAAAAATTTAAACAGACTCACAAGGCATTGGTCTAGTAGATAAGAAGTCTCGCTTAGTAATTGCTTCTTATAAAAGGATATGAGTTCAATTCTTGCTAAGAACATTCAGGTTTGTGTTTGAATTGAACTTTTTATTCACAAAAATATATAATTTGAAGTTGAGTCTCGGCTACGATTAATAATATGGCAATTTAATTAAAGGATGGACTGTTAATTCAAATGGAAAAGCATGGGACACATGTCAAGGTCTTACACGCTATTTTAGGTGTATTTTTAATATATAAATATATATATTATTCAATACTCAATGATAATAGTACTATATATTTAGATTGATGGCTTGTTGAAATGGAAAAGTATGAGACACGATAAGATAGAGTTTGAACTTTACAAAATTCTATAATATAAATGACATGTAAATGAAAATATAGTATTTGTTTTTGGGACAGATATATTTACAAGCTAAGTTGATAATAATTGTTAGTCTAAGTTAATTAATATTATGTGAAAGAGTTTAGGTCTTACAAGCTATTTAATTTTATGTGTTTTTTCAATGTATATATTTTATATTCAATGAATCTTGTACTACATATTTAGATCTATGAGATGGATTGTTGAAATGGAAAAAACATAAGATAGGTTAAGATAGAGTTTTAACTTTACAAAACTCTATAGAATAAATTATATGTAA